CACACACAACAGGCATGCACCACACCACACACATGCAACACGCAACACACACACCACCTGCCCACCCCCAGCGACCAGCAGGAGCAATGGATGGGAAGTCAGATGGTAGGCGCCCCCATCCTCAGGCCCCTTGGCCAGGCCTTGGGGTGCTGGGGGTGGGACTGGGAGCAGGCCCCGCCTTGGCTCTGCCACCTTTTCAGGCCCTCCCTGGTGTGACCTGCCTCAGTTTACACCTCTGTGGGGTGGGCTGTGGGTGGAGGAAGGGCTCTTGGAATTGGAATGGCAGGTCTCCCAGCCAGGCCGGCTCCACCCCTGGAGAGGTGGGGTCCATCACCAACACGGAAGCAGGCCACTACAGAGGCCAGCGGGTCCCAGGGTCCTGGGGCAGGGCGTCAGGCCTGTGGGCAGGTATGTCAGCCTAAGGTGACAACTAGTGGGACTCTGGCTCCCTCTCCCAGCCCCTCCAGCTAAAGGTCCAGCAGTACCAGGTTCTGCCACGTGGTGGCAGCAGATGCTCAGGTACCTTCTCAGCCACTGGTTGTGACAGCAAGTTGCTGCCCTTACTCCCGGAACCCCAGGGTTGGGAAGAAGGGGCCTGGCGTCTGCACAGGGTCTCCTGCAGTGACCCCCATGCCAGACACTTCGGGGAGTGGGCAGTTCCACAAGCTGGTCCTCTCAGGGACAAGGTGCTGGGACCTCTGGGCTCCCAGCCCTCCTCCCTCAGCTCAGGGGCTCCACTTCCATCCTGCCTGTTTCCACACCCTCACCTCTGCTCACAGGTCTCTCCAGCTTCCAGCAAGCCCGGGATGTGTGCCACTTTCTCCAGGCAGCCCTCTGGCCTGCTGGGATACGGATGCCCAGTCCTCTGACTAGCACAAGGTCTCCTTTAGTCCGAGCTGGCTAGGCCATAGATGCACGGAACACACACTCACTGAGTGTCCACCGCATGCCAGAGGTTGCTTCTTGATGCCCAGATGCTGATAGGCAAGAGTTATAGCCGCCACCAGGAAGCCCCCTGCCACTAAAAATCAGACCCCCAGGAAGAAACAGGTGGACTCCACGTGTTGGTGATAGGAGGGGTTACAGGGGTGTTACAGTGGGCAGGGTGGCCTGGGCCTTCAGGCACCGGACCCGGTCTGCTCTCAGGCAGGGAAGCCTAGGTGCCAGGGCTCCTGTCCCCTCGGGCTCAGCCCACGCCTGGCACATTACAGACATTGTCAGACTCCCTCCCAGTGGGTCTGGCTCCTGAGGGACAGGTCAGAGGGATTCTAGCTCCACCAGCCCCCTCCGCAGGAGGTCCTCATGTCTGAGAGCCTACACCTGAGCCCCCATGGGGTCTGCAGCACACCCAATGGCCCCGCCACCCCCCATTTGCTGTGCCACCAGAACCTCTGACTTCCTCAAGGAGGTTGGCCCCGGCAGCAGCAGGCTCTGCTGACTGAGCTGCAGCTGTGGCTGGGCTCAGACTGGAGTAAGGGGCCTACTGCCTGCCACCTTGTTAGGCCCGCCTAATGGGCCTCATTTTGCCCTGCTGCCCAGGGTGGGGGCCCAGGTCCTGAGAAGGCAGTGTGGAGGGGCAGGGGCCTCATGACTGTGGCAAACCAAATGCTCAAGATACCCCCCCTCCCAGAGAATGGAGCCGTGTGACCCCTGCCCCAGCAGGTGCCAACATTTGTCAGGAAGGGTGCCCCCCACCTCCCCAATCCCCTTCCACACCACTTATTCTCCAGCAGCTGCCACCGGCAGTGGGGG